CAGACCGCCCCGCCGGCCCGGGGACCAGCCGCCCCGCCCCAGAGGGGACTATCCCGGGCACGCTCCCCTCAGAGGGCTGGAGGAGCCGAGCCGGCCGCAGGACAGCGGCGCAGGAGGGGCCCTACTACCCTGGCCGGCCGGGCTCCGCCGCGAACTCACCTGGCTGTGGCGCCCCGTCCGCTATTACCGGCCCACGGGGAGCGCCCGCCGGCTCCCACCGTCACCGACCCTCCCTCCGCCACCAGCCGCGGCCGGCCCACGCAGGCGCATTGTGCTGCCCAGAACACCCCTTCCTCCGCGCAAGCGCGTTACACTCTCCTCGCGTTCCTTACTGTGGAAACGTCTTGCAGACGCGACTCCTTCCCGTGCGCAGGCGCAGTGCTCGTCCCGCCCTCGGCTCTCCGTTCTATGCAGGCGCATGTCCAGGTCCCGCCTCGCTCTCGTGCCAACGGGGAAGGGTGAGACGGGCAGGGGAAAAGCCGAACAGGCAGCCTCAAGGGGTGTTTCCCTTCGGCTCCTCCCCGCGCTTCCCATTGGTCTATTAGCGGCAAGGGGGCGGGTTGCAGAGCTCTAGACTGCCTGGGCGGGGCAGCGTGCGTCGGCTCCTTCCTCAAGACCATACCCGCTCAGGTAGGTATGGGGAAATACCGCGAGAACTCCGGCTCGGCACTAACCAGCTCTCCTCGCGCCCTCTGTCTTATCGCGATGTTTCATGGGCTATATAAAGGGAGCCGTGGTGGGCCTGGGCGGTGTTAGTCAGTTATCTTCGTGTGTTTGGAAGCTGGGTGAGCTGGGGGTTGATGTCTCTGCCTGTTTCTTGGGGCTCGGGAGGTGCCTGGGTGCTGCTGCTTCAGGGCTTGGGCCCTTGCCTGGCTGGGGTCCCTCTAGGGCTGTCCTTGGGCCCAGGGCTGACTGGGGGACCCAGCTGCTCTCCAGTCATCCTCCCCATGGGGAGTTGCTGCCTGCCGTGTTGGGTGTGAAAACAAATAACTCAGGCCTAGTCCTCGCGCCACCCCACAGAAATCTGGGCAAGGCTCCCCAGCGCCCTTCTGGCCAGGCTGTGGAGGGACGAGAAACCAGGGAAACTCAGTGCAGGCCTCTCACTAAAGTACCTATAGGGGGTTGGATGTAAATCCTATGCAAGCTTTGAGACCAGAAGGGTTGCTACAAAAACCATGCAAAATGCGGGAGTGTGGCAGTAAGAGTACTTGGAAAGCCCCGTGTGTGGCCATTGCATTCTGAAGTCGGTGACTGATTAAATGGGTGAAAAAGTAATATAAACAATACCTTGCAAACAGCATTTGCTTAGGCTGTGGTAATTGCAGGACCTACTGTGCTAGCAGTGGTAATGGCATTGTCGTCTACAGTACTGAGGTAAAGGAGTTCTAGCAACGTTCCTCATGCTACCCTTTGTTTTAGATGGGTGTGTTAATTAAGGATATGTAGTTCTTCAATAAACAAAATTAAACATTTCAGTCCTTACAAAGTGATTGTACTTTGTCTGTTTAAATATCTCCCACTTCAGTATGTGGGCCAAGCGCTTACACTAAGTAACTATATGCAACCTTGTCCTTGCAAACAGCAACATGAACAATGGAATCATTTTAAACAAATGATATGAATGACATTTGTTGAATATGTAAAAATGTAGTATTACTTATCATACTAGAACTAAAATGTCTTCCTTAGTCTTCTAGTCTGATTTTTCTCAGGAAAATGAAAAGCTTTTTATTTTTTAAGTTTTGGTACACAGTGATATGGATAATATCATTTCCCCTTTGAGGAGCCTATAACAATTTTTTAGGTTCCTTAAATATTTAAAAACAGTATAAATTAGGAACTTAAGAAACTTATTTTAAGATATTCAGGACGCTTGCTTCTTCCCCTCATTCCGTCTGAGAGATGACTTTAGGTTTGTGAATCAGTAATCTTCCTAATAGTAGTATGTGAACCTACCCTGTTTTGAAAAAGTCTGCTTTGAATCACTGCAACTATTGATTTGCATTGACCCCTAAACGGAGTAAAAAGTCTCTGAACAGGAGCCTACCTCAGTCAGACTCACTGTACAGTACTTGCATAGCGAGAAACAAGGAGTGCTGGAGCCTGAAGACTTTGTCTTGGAGATGTTGAAGCCACATGGCCTATCCTTATGGAAAAGGGTGACCCTTGGAGGTTTGGCACACTACAGGGTTAACCCTGGCAGCCAGTTTAAAGGCCAGAGCATAACCCACACATGTGAATCCATGCCATAGCAATCTGTCTCAAGCAATGTTTCTGTTTCATATGAGGAAGTGGCATTTAATGATTCCTTTTTGGTCAACAAAAAGGAGTGGCAGTTATTGAAACATTAGCCACATCTACACTAGGAAAATAGTTCTCAAACAATTATCGTGTTAAAACTATGACTTGCCCCTTTTACAATAGGATTTTAACCAGGGTTAGCCATTAACACTTCAAAATATTAAGTGTTGAAACTATTTGTAATGTTCAAAATGACACTATCATGATTTTCTATACATAACTTAATCATTCATGTAATTAATAATGTTACAGTAAAAACACTGGAATTTTCCAAGAAGCAGCACTTCCCTGACTCCCCCCTGTGTCCCACATCTCTGCCAGAAATCCAATAGCTCTTCCCCCACCTCCTACAACTCTGGGTAGAGCAGTGGCAGATCATGGGCAGACGATAATGGCTGGGTTTAGCTGGAGGCGGGGAAGGGAGGGCAGTTAGAGAAGAGCTGCTGCTGCTGCCTCAGGGCAGCCCTGAAAATCATAGGAATGAAGGATCTTCTCTCATAGTGAGAGCTTGTCCTTCAGGTGCCAAAATCTATAACGGGTGGGAGTTTGCAATAGTGGAGATAGTTTCTCCTGCATTAGACAAATAGTGCTGCCTTCAGATTGTTAATGTTGGATATTGGTCTGCAGAAAACTGAAAGTCTTCCTGCTCTGGGGATAGTTATGATTCTGAGCCTTAATAAGCTTCGCTATGTTTCTTGGGGACAGAAGTAGTTTTTTGCTTTGTTTAATCTCTCAAAAACTTTGGTGAATTTTTCTTGTATGGTTTGATGTCAGATGTCAGAGCATCTTTTATAGAAACTGGTGATGAAGCCTTCAGGGCTGAGGGGCATTCCTCTCTAGAGAGTGTTGATTTCCTGCTTATTCCCTCCCATACTGGATTTGTTTTTCCCTATTTTGCAGGAAACTTATTTCCTACAGTCTCCAAAATGTTTGTGTCAAAGCTTTGGAAGCAGTATCTGATCTACATATTGCAGGATGGCATTGTCCAGTTGTGAAGGGTTTTCTGAAACACATGGGGGATCTGATGTATTACCCCAGTACAAAAAGTTCTAAAATTGTTTTTATTCTGATGCTTGCCTCATCCAAGACTCTGCGGTCTGTGCTGACGAGTAGGCATAATTCACACAGTAACTTGAGTTTTCAGATCAAAAGCACAAGCACAAAGAGCTAAAGAAACACCATGGGGAGCCAAGAGGAGCAGAACTGCTGCGGTTTCCTTGGATCTTGCGCTGGGGGCGAAACAAAGGAAAAACTCAGAAACTCAAAGAACTCCTACCAACTGTTTCCATTTTGCTCTACCTGGTTATTCATATTAAGTGATGGAGCTTGGCTGAATTACTATAAACAACATTAAAGCTGACTACCTTTCAAAAAACAAATTTGCGGGGGTGAGTCTCACAACTTATTTTCAAGATTGTGCTTTCAAGGTAAGATAGTGACAAGAAGTGTTACATGTGATCCATTGGATGAATACCAAACCCATTCCTCATACTCTGATCCAGAAGCAGGGAGGTTAAGTAGTTTGGATGCAAACTGAAATCCAATGTCTGAATCACAGCCTAGGTCTTTTAAACTTTGACCTCCTGGATAGTGATCAGATCATTGGCGTGATTGAGTGTGGTATGCTATTACATGGGCAGGGCAAAGAAACATATTGGCCCCAAGGAAAATGTGGGATGCTTTTAATAACTTGCAAGAACAGGTCACAAAAATAATGGGGTGGAGCAACTCTAACCCGCCAGATGCAAATCATTCACTCTCCAAATGTCTAATTCACCTCCCTTTAAGGCTTATTCATCCTGCCTACTGAGAATGAGACTTCAGTCTTTGCTTATCTTAACTGCTGTCTTCATACCTCCCAGTCTTGTACTATGACTTTGCATCAGCTCCCTTGGCAATTTAGGATGATTTTCATACCCTGTGAGCCTTACAAGATGGAACCCCTATCAAAATTATGATTGAGCAGGCCATCCACTCTAGATCAGCTTCTTATCAGCATCCTGGGCTATCCAGGCTCCTCACTGAACCCTTTCTGCTCTGGATAAATGATGCGACTCTCCCAAAATGTCAGTCCACATGAGGCTTTGCTTTAGGCATATTCAGCTCACTTACACCCACCTCTTCAAAGCCAAAGTGTTATGGGCAGTACAGAACTAAGCTTTTGACTCTTTGGAGTAGGGTTGGATTCTGGTTCTAGCCACATGGTGTGGTGATGCCCCACTTCCCATCAACCGTGTTGCTACAGGAGCATGTTAACCTTATGACACAAACATCATCACCTTGTGACACCAGCTCAGAGGAGCCCATGCTTTGTGCGCCTACCCGTGGGGTGTGGGTGGAAAGAGAGTGCTAGTTGAACAAGGGAGCACCTTCTCTCCTGAGACAGGTTTGAATCAGGTAGGTTATGACGTGATGATTTTGCAGAGTGAATGTCCAGGCACTGAGTGTGCTGAACCCCCAAATCATGACATTCTGCTTAGCAGTGGCAGGTTAGGGTGTGATTGGATGGTTTATCATTGATACGTTCTTCCACTTTGGCTTCAGAGATGGAATTATCTCCTTTTCTGACTCCACTGAAATGCCCCGGAAGCTGCATGCATAGCAAGTCAGGGAAGGAGGGAAGCCACATTGATTGACTCAGATAGGAGAGTTTTGACTTAGGCCTGGTCCACACTACCCCCCCACTTCGGACTAAGGTACGCAAATTCAGCTACGTTAATAACGTAGCTGAATTCGAAGTACCTTAGTCCGAACTTACCGCGGGTCCAGACGCGGCAGGAAGGCTCCCCCGTCGATGCCGCGTACTCCACTCGCCGAGCTGGAGTACCGGCGTCGACGGCGAGCACTTCCGGGATCGATTTATCGCGTCTAAACCAGACGCGATAAATCGATCCCAGAACATCGATTGCCTGCCGCCGGACCCTCCGGTAAGTGTAGACGTACCCTTAGGCTTTTGCCTCTCTCCAAATGAATCTAAAATGAAAAGGAAACTAACACTCACAGGCAGAGCCCAGTAGATGGGGATGTCGCTGCAGAGAATATTCAGAGTTGTTCCCAGTGTAGTGCGGTCAGCCGGTTCTGCCTCTATGAAGTTGTAAGACATTTTGTCTCCAGAGACCTGCTGGAAAAGAAGTTGCCACAGTCTAGCCCTTCATATGAGCAAGGTACAAGCACTGGTGCTTGATACCAGCAAGCAAGAAACCAAGTAGAGCTCTAGTCAGTGGAAATGTTCTGTAGCTTTCCTATAGCAGCTGTGGAGCACAGTTTCGTTAGCTAGAGAAGTAAAGCTCTCTCAAAGTCACAAGAACTGTCTTTCACACCCAGGACCATGACATCCAGCCAAATGCAGAACATTGGGCTGCCACTCAGCAATTTGATCTCGTGTCCCTAGCTACCAGGGGATACCTTCCCCTGCAGGGCAGGACAGGTTCCTCGGTCAGTTTTTTACAGATTTTTAAAATGAGAAGTAATCTATTGAACTGTAAGCGGAACCTTGGTGGATGATTGAGACCACTGTGAGTCCTATGAGACTCATCCAGCTCCCCTCTCCCACCCCCGAAGTCAGACATCCCAGGGACTGCAGTTCAACAATCCATCTCTAACATTATCCCTAGGTTCTGTCAGAGGGAGGGGACATAAAAGGGCCATGAAAGTAAGGGCATGCCTGCACTACATTTTAAAACCCATGGCAGCGAGTCTCAAAGCCCGGGTCTACAGACTCGGGCTTACAGGGCTCGTGCTACAGTACTGAAAGCAGCAGTGTAGACGTTTGGGCTCAGGCTCTGAAGCCTGGGGATGAGGATGGGTTTCAGAGCCTGAGCCGCAACATCTACACTGCTGCTGTTAGCGCTGCAATGCAAGCCCAAATCTGTAGACCCAGGCTCTGACACTCACTGCTACAGGTTTTAAAAAGCAGGGTAGATGTACCCTAAGAGGCTGAGGTGAGAGAATTTTGTGTCCAAGTATGCCAAGAGCAGAATCTCTTGGTAACAGCAGAGAGTGCAGCCGCTCTTTATTTAATGGGGAAAACGCCTTTGAAAGCACATTTGTAGACAGCTATTTTGAGTTTCTGATTTGAGCCCTATATAGCAAACAGCTAGTGTCATTCAGAGCCATCCTAGAGAGTATGGTACTGGCCATTCCACCAGCTGCCTGGGGAGATCCGGTACACTCAATGTATCCAACTGTAATTCAGAAACTCACTTTCAGGGGAAAGGTGGGTTCTAAAATAGGGTGTCCAACTTGGAGGGGGCCAGAGTACAATTTAAGTTATGGATTGTGGACTGGGTCTATTAAGTTAGTGTCAAGGATCCAGACCAGACTCGCCACTGCTGTCTCTAGGAGGCTTGCAAATGATTGAGGGTAGAATATGAACCTTATATTCTAGTTACTGTTGCATTCAGTATTACTCGGTGGGGAAAATGATGCCAGGTACTTTTAGAATCATTTCCTCCCTTCATTTATTTGGTCATTTGTACATGCAGTTATTTAGTATCCCTATATAATTGTGAGCACAAATTAGCTAAATTTGTACACTGAAGTTACTTGGAAATTGTCCCTAGATGATCATTAGGCTTCAGGGTTAACTACCCACCAAGATGAATTTGGAGCAGCTTATCTCTCTCTTAGAGCTGCTTCAATCTATGAGAGTGTTACTACATTTTGAAAGTTTATTTTCAAGCTATATGGGCTAGAAATATAACTTTAAAAATATGAAATCTTATATACTACCGAATCTGATTCTTTCAGAGAGGCTGGATAAATACATTAAGTCGGCCAGGAGTTTGGCACCCCAGGTTTAAAATTCATTGCTTTCAATCAAAGTCTACAAGTAAGTAATACAAGAATGTGATAAAAGCCCAGACTTGCGAACCTTACTTTGGCGTTAAAATGTGGGAGATCTCTGGAAATTTCATCCAAGCTTGGTATGTTGAGTTTATCCATCTTCATCACAAAACATTTTTTACTGTTGGTGATTCTGAGACCTATTAGACCCTACAAGCAAACATCCAAAACATCAGTATGAGGCACTTGCGAGAAATAAAGTTCAAAGTGTTCATTGACCAACAAGATAACCTGTGAAGTTTCCCTGGGTAAAAGCTTGTATAGAGGTTGTTTATTTCCCCAGTAGAGATGCCTGGGCTGGTCTTGCCTATGCCCCCAGCAGAGAAGCTGTGCAAAGGTTATGAAAAGTTTTCACAAAGTTTACTGCAAACGCTGTCATCCATTCTTCTTTTGGGCCATTTCACAAAGGGGAGGGAGGAGGGATAGCTCAGTGGTTTGAGCATTGGCCTGCTAAACCCAGCATTGAGAGTTCAATCCTTGAGGGGGCCACTTAGGGGGTCTGGGGTAAAATCAGTACTTGGTCCAGCTAGTGAAGGCAGGGGGCTGGACTCAATGACCTTTCAAGGTCCCTTCCAGTTCTAGGAGAAAGGATATCTCCATTAATTTAACCTAGAATTTCAGTGGATGTTTGTGGAATAGCCAAATTCTAAACTTTAAGGGCTACATTTTCTGTTAGGACACAAGAAGCAGAGAGGAAAATATAGCTTGAAGCCATCTTTACATTCCTCTAATTTTGGAACTTCTGGCATTAGAGCAACCTGGATGCTGCACTAAATTATACCCAGCCCCACAGCTCCAAGGGTCCACTCAGGCAGCTGGGGATGACTGAGGTTTAGGGATACCCCAACCCTACCCTTTTCTTCTGGGAACTCTTCTCCATACACCAGGAGCTTGAGCGTGGGGGAGAAGAGCCACTATGCTTTAGTCCACCCGCTAATTCCCCCTTACACAAAGGATCAGGGGGCTGGATTGCCTGCTTTGCCTTAGTGGGGTCAAGAATCTGGCTCTACGTGTCTTGACAGCAACTGGTTTTCCTCTGAAAGGAAATTTGAAATTTGTACTTTTGAAAATATCACTTAGATCTTCAGTGAAAAGGAGACTGCTTTTCATTCAATAGTAGTTTATTTTTGAGCAAAAATAATGACTTTTTAAAAATTGGCTCATTCTTGAAAATTCAAAATGAAATATAAAACCCTGGATGTACGTTTTAGAATCGTTTCAAACTTACGTTTAACTCTCTCTGAACTGCAGTCTGCCAACTAGATGAACTGGTGTTTAGTTTAACATTGGTCTATCCAGCATTTCTGCCTCCATCTGGCGCCATTCAGATAAGGAGCGATGGTGTAATTTTCAGCTCAGTAAAGTTTAAAATTACTTAGAGAGAGGCTACCTCCTGCTCTGGCAGGTACAGAACATCCTAGTGACTTGGATCAGACCAGTGGTTCTCAAACTTTGTTTTCACGGACCACTTGAAAATTGCTGAGGGTCTCGGCGGACCACTTAATGATCTTTCCAAATGTTGTTTGTACCATTTATCATGCACGCTCCAAGGATAGGTTCACTAATAACGGAATGGGACAGCCCCGCCTGGTCTCCCTGCCTAAGTAAAAGCTACTGTCTCTTGCACAGTAGTCTGGAAGAACCTATTCTAATGGGAGGGCTTATCAGAGACCAGATTGGCAAAGATTGTGGTCCTCTGCTGTAATTCCTGGAACACAGTGGAAAAGGCAGAACTTTCTTGGCATAAGCACAAGTGGCCCTGGCTTGTTGACTATCTGAACTCAACCTTTTCCTCTTTCCAGTACAATCCAGCTCTTCCAGCCCATTTGCTTGCACTTACTTGGTTATAGTTGTACACAACAGTGGCTGTGGATTTCTTTCTTTTGATGTGGAAAGCGGCCACGTTCTCCCGTTCATTTACCATGGCCGTCTGTTCTTCCTCTTCCCCCTTGTTTCCCTGGATGACCATGTCAAGGACCTCAAAGAAACATTTCAGGGTATGAAATACCATCTGTAGACCCTAGCATATTCGTCAGGGAAGTGTGAAAGTGCAGTGAGCCAAGAGCCATTCCAGATACCCATAGCCTCGGAGGGTATGTCTACACAGCAAAGAAACATCCATGGCTGGCCCTTGCCAGTCAACTCAGGTTTGAGGGCTCAAGTTGCAAGGCTGTTTCATTACTTGGAGACTTCTGGGCTTGGGCTGGAGCCCAGGCTCTAGGACCCTGTGGTGTGGGAGAGGCCCAGAGCCCCAGAAGTCTACACAGCAATGAAACAGCTCCGTAGCCCAAGCCTAGGAGCTGAGTCAGTTGGCATAGGGCAGCTGCAGGTTTTTCTTTGCTGTGTAAACGTACCCTGAGGCAGCTGGGAGTCCACCCACGTACAGAAAGGAGATATTCAATCAGCTTTTTTTAAAGGCTGCTGATAATGCCAGTTCATTAAGGAGCCACTTGAGTGACACAATCTGACCCTGCATGTGCATCCAAGGGGAGAGTTTGGCCCAGTGTATTTCACGCAAATACAAGAATAAAAAAAGACACTCAGAGGCAAATATAATTCAGTAGGGGCTGCAAAATTATAACCAGAAGCCAGATTTCACCCTCTGTGCCGACAGGGTTTCTGTTGAGTTCAGCAGGAGCTATGACCGCATCAACTGTGCCAATAGGGGGTGAATTTTCAAAGTGGTGCACCAGGCTGCCCACTCTTACTGTGAATGGAAATTTGCATGGCTAAATTCCCCAGGCACTGAGCTGGATTTACCTTAGTTCGTTTCTTAACTCTGCTACAACACTTATTACAATCAAGAACTGCTATAAAATTGTACATACTGTGTGTGTGTAAATAGGGGGAAAGTACCTACCTTCGAAGGAAGTTCTTGATGTAACTTCTAAATTAAAGGCATGGTCTGTATAAATAGTGCTGGCTGATTAGAATGACACATGCAAATTGCAAGGAACCCATTGCTAAATCGCCCACCAAGGGATAAGCTGGAAAAGTCCTTGCTTTGATATGAATATATAGCAGAGCCCTTTCAGACACCTTTTGAGGTTTATAAACCTGAGTTTAAGAATAGTGCCTTGATGTCACGATGATTTCTAGATCATGATGTCATGCTGTCTGAAATGGACAGTTTGAGCTGGTAAGGTGAAAACTTTGCATTTCAGAATTATTGATAGGATTGGTAAATGTGCATTAGGGACAGAAATGCATGTTTGTGCCAGGTCTGATATCTCAGAGAACAGTTTGTGGCTGAAATTGCCGGAGGCATGTTGCACAAACAAGAGTGACGGTACAGGCGTCCCACTGACTGCTCTACTCACCTTTTCTGTGTGTTTTTGGGTCAGGTAAACTCCTACCAAAGCACCGGCAACTATGAAGAAGCCCAGGAGAATCACCATGACTGAGGCAAGGATGATTCTTCGTTGGTTTGTGCTCACTTTGGGCATGGAGCTGTAAACCTGAAGAGAAATAAATATCCTGTGTTATTGATAATTCCCAGTTACAAAGTGTCACGGAGTCCCCGGGCGATGCTCTGGAACTGCTCCCCACAAAGCCAGTCAGGACTTTGGGGAGCCTCCTCTCCCTTGGAGCAGACTGTCTTCAGGGCAAGAAGCTCATACGTCTTCACCTCCTGGGTCTCTCCTGGGAGCATTCAGCATATGCCCCTCCGTGTGCTTCCCACAGCAAGTCCGCCCAGGCGGGGTCCTGGGGAAGCCAAAAGACTCCACGCACCCCCACTTTGCAGTCAGACGTTACTCTCAGCCAGCCAGTAAAACAGAGGTTTATTAGAAGACAGGAACACGGTCTAAAACAGAGCTTGTAGGTACGGCGGAGAACGGGACCCCTCGGCCGGGTCCATTATGGGGTTCAGAGAGCCAGACACCCACGTCTGCCCTCACTCCTCGTCCCCAGCCAGCTCCAACCCTGAAAAACCCCCTCCTTCTCTGGGCTTTGTCTCTTTCCTGGGCCAGGAGGTCACCTGATCTCTTTGTTCACCTTTAGCTATTTCCTTGCAGGGGGGAAGGGGCCCTGGCCATTTGTTGCCAGGGAGACAGTGTCAGTGATTTATGCACACTGGCCTTTCCCCACCACCTAGAGACTTAAGAAATGCATAGGGGAAACTGAGGCACCCACACAGTATTCAGAGGAAACATTAAGAACAGTCCCACTTCGTCGCACAAAGTATGTCTGGCGGTGATAACATCAGAAATAGGAGACTTGTTCCTGGTAAAGTCTTGACTAAATGGTTTGATCTTGCAAACCCTTATTCAGATAAGTAGTTCTCGGTCACACTAGTCCAGCTGACTTTGGCGGACTATGTTCATTAGTAAATACTAGCAATGTGAGTAAAGTTTTAAAGGCTTAGGCCCTAAATGAGGGGAACAAAACTGGAGAGAGGTAGCAAAAGCAAAAACCAAACATTCCTCCCCCAAAAAAATCTTGTTTGCAGAGCTGAATTTGAAGTATGTTCTCTAGCCTCACGTTAAATTGCGCGAAACTCAAGTCAGAACATACAATGGGTTGTGCATTCAGTCAAGATAAGCATCTTCTGGGTGTGCATGCCAAGGGCTTCCCCAGGCCAGATGGGGCTGTGTGCTGACCGAAGGCAGTGGTGTACTTTATAGAAAGGTATTTAAATGTTAAGGTTTAATTTCTAGAGAAGATATTTAGAATGTGTGCATACCAGCACTCATTTAAATCATGCATTTTTAGATATTCAATTTTAAAAACAATGTCTAAAATGTGTAAGTCCCCATTTCAGCCATCTGCCTCACCTCCCTGAGCTGACATGCTGCCAATGCTCTTCAGCCCAAACTTCCCCCAGCTGCTCCCCATGGGCCCTCTCATTCTCCCCACCTGTCGTCTTGCCACCCACCTGTATTGATCTACCCACCACCTGGACCTTTTGTTTGAACAGAGCTGTCCTCAAACCATCTTCTCTAAGCCTAGGGACAAGATTCCCCCTCCTCCCTCCCCGCCCCCCCAGTAAGGGTAAATACCATTGTCCTGGTTTAGCAATTGGGAGATACTAACTGGGGAATGTGCTTTCTTCCTTTCTTAGAAGAATGCAGGCTGTTTAAAAACATAGCCGGGGGACAGACTTCAGTCTCCTATCCAATCGAGGTGTGTGACATCAAGCTGATTCATCTGAGACAAATACACTCTGCACATAACTCCTTGTTTGATCAAATCACTAGCTAACAGGCATTGATTAAATATTTCTGGAAGACACACGCTACCAAACGGGGTATCCAATTCCTTCTAACCACTGCAAAAATTATATGTTACTTACAGGTGGCTGAGCAGGCATGGTGAGCTCGGTAGTACTTTTGCAATCCATCTTTTCTGTCCCTCACTGTAAATCCAAGGCAACTGTTTTCCCTCTCAGGAGCCAGCCCATGCTTTTATAAAGGGTCCAGGGATCCAGTGTTCTTTTTCCCAGTATGATTTTTAAAGCCCTGAACTTCCTTGTTATTGCTGCAGGAATTTTTCATGATTGTCCAAACGTGATAATAGACACAAACCATTATAAAACTATCAAATTTATTACTAACAGGGCCTCATAAAATCATCTCTTGTCTGGGAACTGGGAAGGTTTTAAAAAAGCATCTGGAATCACATTTTGGACATAAGTTCTGCTGAACTTTAAAATGTGTGTTTAAAGGAGAGGAGGCTTCTGGCAGGGTATTCTCCAGGAGGGGTCTTTGACATAGGGATTGGTTCCCCTTGGGTCCAATCAGTCTGGATTGAACTTCTCAGGTCCACTAAAACCGACCTTCCTACATTAGTTCCAGAAGACTGGAAGAAAGCTAATATGGTGTCAATATTTAAAACGGCCAAATGGGATGACCCAGGTGATTATAGGCTGACATCAATTCTGGGCAAAATAATGAAGCAGCTGCTACAGGACTTGATTAATAAAGAATTAAAGGAGGGTAGTATAGTTAATGCCAATCAACATGGGTATATGGAAAATATGTATGTCAACCTGGGTCAAACTAACTTGTAATGTGAATGAAAAGATACAAGTTTGGTTGATAAAAGTAAGAGTGTTGATGTAATATACTTAGACTTCTGTAAGGCATTTGACTTGGTACCGCACAACATTTGGATTAAACAAAGCTATATGATATAAAATTAACATGCCACACATTAAATGAATTCAAACCTGGCTAACTGCTAGGTCTTAAAATGTCGTTGTAAATGGGGACTCACCATTGAGTGGGTATGTTTCTAGCAGGGGCGGCTCTATGTTTTTTGCTGCCCCAAGCATGGCAGGCAGGCGGCTTTCGGCGGCATGCCTGCGGGAGGTCTGCCAGTGCCGTGCCATCGGCGTCCCCGCTGCCGAATTGCCACGGGACCGGCGGACCTCCCGCAGGCATGCCGCCGAAAGCCGCTTGCCTGCCACCCTCACAGCGACTGGCAGGCCGCCCCCCACGGCTTGCCGCCCCAGGCATGCACTTGCTGCACTGGTGCCTGGAACCGCCCCTGGTTTCTACTAGGGTTCCACAGAGATATGTTTTTGGCCTGATGCTATTCAACATTTTTCTCAATGACCTGGAAGAAAACAAAAAGTCATCACTGATAAAGTTTGCAGGTGACAAAAAAATTGTGGGAGTGATAAATAAGGAAGAAGACAGATCACTAATACAGAGCAAATTGGATCACTTGATAAACTGGGCGTAAGCAAACAATATATGTTTTAATACGACTAAAAATAATGTATACATCTGGGAACAAATGATGAAGGCCATAGGCACCGACTTCCCCTCTACCCAGGGTGGTGCTCAATCCACCCCCTCCACCCAGGCCCTGCCACCGCCCTGCCTCTTCCCGCCCCTGGTCCGCGCCCGCAACACCCCCACTCCACCCCTTCCCCGAATCCCCCACTCCGCCCCTGGTCCACCCCCGCCCCGCCTCTTCATGCCCCATCCCCTGAGTGCACCCCATCCCCGCTCCTCCCCAAAG